AGGGAACATATGTTAAATTAGTGTGATGTCAGAACTTAAAATAAGGGTAGAAGGCATGAGTTTTAGTTTAGTTCATACAGATGAGCTTCCAACTGCTTAAAATTGTTTAAAAATAAAACACCCTGCTTCTGAGAAAGAAGATATTTAATGTTGAAGAATGAATGTTTAGGTAGAAGGTGGATGATAGGATGTTGGGTATCTAAGGTCAGACTTTCAGAAGTCTATCAGTTCTATGATTCCTTTTATTCTGAAACTGAGACATCATCCTATATAATAAAACTCTAATATGCAAATTGACCAAATGGTGGAATGACTAGTCACTAGGATGCTCACTGACCATCATGGGGCAGATGCTCAATGCAGGAGTTGCCCCCTGGTGGTCAGTGTGCTCCCACAGCCATAGTGCTGCTCAGCAAGAAGTTGGGCTCAGGGCTGGTGAGAGGACGCAGGCCAGGCTGAGGGAACTGCACCCCCCCCCCCTCAAGAATTTCGTGCATTGGGCCTCTAGGTATCCTGTTTCAGAGAAGTTAAAAGTGTGAAAAGTTAATGGTGTATAGTTGATAAAATATGGTTTATATTCTCCTATTTTGTGAGGAGGGTTTTTGGATCAATCTCGCTTTGTAGTTTTAATCACTTTCTCTGTTTGCCCTACCCCTCCTAGTTAGTCCCAGGGCATGCCTGTGGGTTTATTGAAAATAATAAAAAGAAAAAAAATGTTTATTAACTCTCTTGCAATATGTGCATGACCATGTGACCTAGAGCAAATGGGGTTTGGAGAGAGTTCTGATTATAGACTCATAACATACTCAACAGGCTAGGAGGGCCAAGGAACCTTCCTAGAAGTCCTAGGCCTAATAGAGCATTGTTGGCATTTGATATTTCCTTGAGAATTTTTGGGGGGTTACTATTCAAAATTTACTTTTCAAACTCAGAACATTTCACAATATTTTATTTTTATTGATTCATACATAAAGATATATATTTACATTTTTATTTTACATAGAATATCTATTATTTAACAATATTGTTAATTTGGCCTTAAACTTGATGTACTAATTATTCACATTCTTTAAGCCTAGAAACCCTGGAGGAAAAACCATGGAGTCATACTTCCTATTTGCATTTTAATGTATTCACACCCACCTTTGTAACTGCAGTGACTCTTCCAAGTGAAGTTAAGTTGCTCTGGAAATGGCTTTCAACCCTAATTCCAGAACATCAGAGTTGGTGACTTTAACTGTGCTCTTAGTTGTGATGCTGCCATTCTCTGCTAACTTCGTAAGAAATATGATAGACTTTCAGCCTACCTTTCCAGTTTCTGGCCATTAGGAAGTCTGGAGAAGACAAAGATCAGAAGTGGAAAGGGCCAATTTTCTATTTACCTATAAGCACATCTAATTTAGCCTCTTGTATAGTTCTCAGAGAGTGCAAAACAAAACAAAAAGATCATTTTTTTTAAGTTAATGACACATTTATTTATTTACTTATGTATTTTTAATATATTTTATTGTATTTTTTACAGAGAGGAAGGGAGAGAGATAGAGAGCTAGAAACGTTGATGAGAGAGAAACATCGACCAGCTGCCTCTTGCACACCCCCTACCGGGGATGTGCCTGCAACCCAGGTACATGCTTTTGACTGGAATCGAACCTGGGACCTTTCAGTCCGCAGACCGACGCTCTACCCATTGAGCTAAACCGGTTTCAGCACAAAGATCATTTTCAAGCATGGCCTTAAAAACACTACTGTAAGTAAGAGAAGGACATGGAAAGCTCATTTTTAGACCAAGACTTCCCTTGTCTAAGAAACTCATCAGTTCCTGGAGTGCCTATGAAATGCTGGTACCAGCATTCATGACAGATAGCCTTGGTAGCAGGGTTATTTCCCCCTTATTGGGCTGATGTGGGTGAACCAGGGTCTCAAGACTCTGTGACAAAAAGAGGAGCCTCACCAGCATTCTTGGATGTTCCTTGATACATCTGCAAAGGCCCCCCTTTTTGTCATTTAATTAAAGAGTGAAACTTTGATGAGGAAAATAAGACATTTGGGGCGTGGGAGGGGAGGGGGTGCTAGCAGCCTGACTCTGTATCCCTAATGCACATTCCTGTCAGTCTATATTCTAGTCTAATCACTGCCCCTTCCTTAATTATCTGGTCTTGAAAGACCTATTTACCTAAATACTCACATTTTACAGAGGCAATAAACCATGAGCAATATACAACCTCCAAAGGGGGTTATCAGTGCTGGCACCAGGCCAGGCCTTTTAGGTGTGGTTTCACGTCTCGCATCGCAACACACGGGGCTTTTTGCAAAGCCCACAAAGGTCCAGAAGTCTGATCCATATTTTGGGGACAAAGAAACCAAAGGGTATACAGGGAAAGCTTCCTCCATATTGGGGGGCTCAGAATTTGGAAACAGGCTTCCCTAAGTCACTGTACTAGTACATGTGAAACATCTGGAAATAAATGGGTTTTCTTGAGTCTCTGAGAACTCCTGTGTATTTTTGGTTGCCTGGTAAATTCTGTAACATCTTCAAGGCATTTAGGTTAGCACACATATTTTTAATCTTCCAGGGAGTTTTCCCCTTTGTTGTCAAGTAAAGGAAAAGGTAAATATTTAAGTCACAATTTTCTGACTTTTGTTCTACTCCCCAACTGATATTTAGTTTCCATACCCCTCTAATTTGTAAACTACACATAATCATTTGGATGTGTATGAGAGAGGGGGAAGGAATCTGGACTGAGCTATTATATTTCCATGAAATATCACTAATAATTTCAAATCCATGTACTTAGATAGGAGGGAGAAACTGCAAAATGGAGTCTGTGGTTTTTTCATTAAATGGCATTGTGTGTTGCAAACATTGTTTAGTCTCATTTGGTTTAATATGGGTGTGTGATTTCTGGGCACAGAGGAAGTAGGCTCTGCGGATCTCTTTGCTTAAAATGACAAGATTAATATTAATGTAGCACTACATACAGGCGCACAGCCGTGGAGCTCTGTATTTCATTTCTGTGAACTAGCCAATTTCAAACTCTGCTTAATCAGACTGACCACTGACAATGCTACAGAATTTACCAGGCGACCGAAAAATACACAGGAGTTCTCAGAGACTCAAAAAAACCATGTATTTCCAGATGTTTCCTATGTACTAGTACAGTAACTTAGGGGATCCTGTTTCCAAATTCTGAGCCCCCCAATATGGAGGAAGCTTTCCCTGTATACCCTTTGGTTTCTTTGTCCCCCAAATATGGATCAGACTTCCGGACCTTTGTGGGCTTCGCAAAAAGCCCCGTGTGTTGGGATGGGGGACGTGAGACCACACCTAAAGGCCTGGCCTGATGCCAGCCCCCTTTGGGGGTTGTGTATAGTTCATGGTTTATGGCCTCTGTAAAATGTGAGTATTTAGGTAAATAGGTCTTGCAAAACCAGATAATTAAGGAAGGGGCAGTGACTTGATAATAGACTAACAAGAACATGCATTAGAGATACTGATGAACTAGGTGCAGAGTCAGATTGCTAGCCCTCTCCCAAAAATGTATTTTTTATATTCCCCATCAACAACTCAGATTATGATTTTCACAATGGGTACCATCACAACAATTTTCCTTAGTATTTTTCACCCCTCTCCTTTCCTCTCCATCCCCCTTTCCCTTTGCGTTCTGGGAGACAGCTCTATTTCAAACATAAGAATAAAAATTGAAGATACATCTGTTTCCATTGCAACAGGTAAGCAACTGGACAGGTGTTTTGACCAGGCCCCTTCTCTTTAATAATGACTAAGGCCATTGTCTCAGCTTTTGTGAATTTGTGATGGCCCCCAATGGCTCTCTCTCATCTGAGTAAAGGCATTTTCTAAAAACAAGGATAGCTCAGTCTGGTAAAATAACTGACACAGAACTTATGAGAGACTGCGGGCTTTCCTTCTTAGGAGCAGATGGCAGACATGTGAACCTAGAATGAGGTGGAAGTGTCAAAGAATATACAGCACACGGGAGCTCACCTGTCCTCACTGGTGATTGCTGTACCATCCTTGCCCCTAGTGGGAGAGGGTAAACTGAATATCCCATTCCTACCCCGGAGGGGAGAAAAAAAGAGTTGATTAAGAAATATCAAACCTTTTTCGCTAAGGACCCTTCTGTGCTCTCTCCCCAGAATATGGGTCCTTGAAAGCTTAATTGTGGTAGAGCAGCAGCAAGAATCACCTGGGAAGGTTTTTTTTTAAAATTTATTTTTATTTATTATTTTTTTTTAACTATTCCGATTCCCAGGCCACAGCCCGGCCACTTAAAGTAGACTATGAGGAATATGAGCATTAATAACAGCAACAAAAAAAGATTTAGATAACTGGGATGTGCAGTCAAGTGTTGAGCCAGCGTGAGAAGCATTAGCTTGGCGCCTGCCAGGGAGATGAAGTTCTCCTCTCAGAGAGGACACTTAGGAGGCAGCTGTTGCAGCAAACAACAGGAGAAAGGAAGAGACAGGAAGGAGGACAAAGTTGCACACGTCCTGTCTTTCTCCAAGTCCAGGGAGTCTCCACCCACCCAATGTGGGTGACCGAGAGGCTTGCAACTGCAGCTAGGGAATGGGGTGAGGTTGGCCTCCAGGCCTGGGGGACTGGGCGGGGTCGGGTGACTGGAGGTAACTCCCCAGCCGAGCATCCATAGCCCCAGGTGTGGTGGGGCCTTGCGACTTGGGGCGGCTGCTGCCTGCGGGGTGGAGAGAAATTTGGGGGCGCCAAAGGAAGCTGGCTCCGGTGCAGGTGGCGCTCGCAGCAGCGCCAGCCCCATTGAGTTGAGCCAATCGTGGGCGCAAGCGCAGCCTGGTGGCCACGGCGGTAACGGAGCGCGGGGCTCTGGCAGGAGCCCGGCGGAGGCACAGGCGGCGCCAACCGGGAGCTGCGCCTGGGCAGGAGGAGTGAGACCTGCGGCGGGAGGAGCGAGCCAGAGCCCTCAGCGCCGCCGCCAGGGTGTTGCCCGGCCCTGGGAGGCCAGCTTGGCATGGGGAAGAAGTGGCGGGATGCAGCGGAGATGGAGCGGGGCGGCTCGGACCGGGAGGACGGCGGCGGAGACAGCCGCAGGTGCAGCCGGAACGCCAGCCGGGGCAGGTTTGCGGAGTCGTGGAAAAGGCTAAGTTCCAAGCAGGGCTCCACCAAGCGCTCGGGACTCCCCTCGCAGCAGACGCCGGTGAGTGGCCCCGGAGGGAACCCCTGCCTGGGTCTCTCTCCTTCCCTTGCTCTCTCCACTCGAGACTCAAGCCCTGTCCATGGTACTGAACTTGCCTTCGAAGGGCTCCAGCCAGGGAACTTGTGGAGCTGCTTCTAACGGGGGGAAAATAAATAAATCAATAAAAGTGGAGGCTGTGAGGAGGGATGAGGAGGATGACTTCCTTATCGTCAGCCACAGAGAATCTCCTGACGTCTTTGATGTCTTTGCAAAAAATGGGGAACATGCTGAGAGGCGAGGGGCTCGCTGTGAGATCAGAGTTTTGCAGTTCATGAGGGTGTGAGATGCTGTGGAGTGTGTGTTGTTCTGACTCGGGTGCACGTCCTGGGCATCTTTCTGGGCAGCATGTTTGGGGGTACTCAGCAGCCGCTGAAAGAGGGCGGAATGGAGAGGACATGCCGTATTTTTACTCTCTTAACAGTTGTTCTTTTCCATCCCACAAGCTCACACTGTTAATGGGTGTGTTTAATTGTTTGCCAAATATTGTGTGCGTGAACAGAATAGCAAAAATACCCCAGGTGCTTATCACCCTGCTGTTAACACATACGACATTCAGAAAAGAAAAAAAAACACCAAAGTTTTCCCATGGGTCAGCTCCTCCTCAGTGTCTAATGAGTGCAACAGAAGCACATGAGTGAATTAAAGTGGGCATCGGATGTGTAGAAAAGTACATTTGATTAAAAACACTTTAGCTGCATTTGCCTTTTAGTATGTAAATATTAGTTGCTTTCCTTCAGCCTAGAAGGAGAGAACTAAGTTCTCTCCTTCTCTGCAGTTCTAAGACTGCAGAGCCCTCCTGTTGCTCACAAGGAAGAAGGACACGTCACTTTTAACTTCCAAAATACTGAGGAACTCAGTGTGTGTGGGGGTGTGGGGTGTGTATGTGGGGGTGTACTTAAGTTTTACATATAGAGGAGTGCTCAGCAAATATTGCATGGTGAAGAGAAAGTAAATTAATTAAAAGGATGGTACATAAGCATTGGATTTTACAGCATGAACAATGTTAGGCTGCTATGTCTGAGCAGGGTCGTCATTGGAGGCTAAAAATTAATCCCTGAAAAGCAGAAAATTTAAAATATTACTTCAACAGAATGAAATGTAAACATGTTACAATTTATAGGGTGTTTATTTTGTTTGCTTATTCACAAAAACTACTAGCAGAAAGTGGTATTAAATTTGAAATCTTTTCTGTGATATTTAGAGAGTTTTTTAAGTTTTAAAATTTTAAATGTAGATACAGTACACTTAAAACACAATTCATTTTATTGCATGCCTTGAAATATTATTTATTTAGAAATGTAGACTTGAAAATATTTTCAAATATTTACTGTTCTGAAAATAGGTTTTTCTATACTAAATATGTAGAAAACATAACGATGACTTCTGTCAATTATGTGAGCTAAGAATTAATTTTATCCCCCTTTTAATAGAAAGCCTTAGTATTATTCTAGGTAACTTAAGTTGCTTTTTCGATTCTGTTCAACAGGTGTGTGCAGTCTATAGTAAGGCTATACAAGAACCTTCATATAACTATAAGTTGGGTTAAATAACTCACAGGTTTGTTATGTAGAATAAATATGTGTATGAGAGAGAGGGCACAATAGGATACCAGGACAACCAGAAGACATCTGGAAAAGTAACTGTGACCCCTTGTTTGCTAAGGGTGATGAAGTTGCTATATTTTTCTGCAGTATTTGTTCATTGAAACATTAGTACTTCAGTTAAAATCCAGTTATGGCAAAAGCCTGAGCTTATTCTCATATTGTATGGCAAGTTTAATATTGATTTTGCTAAAAAAAAAAAAAAAAAATCTAACAAGTGCCTCTAGCCATGATTTTAATCAGCAAATTAAAGAAAACACACAAAGATAATCAGGTTTTTAACCAAGATTTGATTCCATTAGTTGTTAACAAAGACTTTCTATTTCATTTGTAAGAGAGATACCCCACTTATTTATGCAAACAGGAGAGAGGGGATAATACTTGTAGCAGATAGGTTTTAAATAAGTCTTAATCTTCAAGTAAGAGTTTCCCCCCTTTTAAAGGGAGCTGGTGCTATTTTAAACTTACTGTATTTCATGCCAAAAAATAGCTTAAGCTATAAAGTAGAAAGTGATTAAAGCAACTAATGTAACTAATGGTGCTTTTCATTTATTCTTATTTATAAACAAGGTGTTCTGTGATGTGGTTTTGGATCTTATTCTTTTTTTGTGTTTTACTCAGAAATATGGTGGTAGCCATCCAGATGAAAATAATATTAGGATTTTACTCTTTTGTTTAAAAGTCAAAATAGATAAATGTGTAAACATTTAGTTAATAATAAAAATTGGGAGCTTCCCTACATCTTTCTTCTTTTTGAGAATGTAAATGATTATATAGTCATTCTATTAATGTGGCCTTTGTTACTCTTTGCTATAGTTAGAGCCTTGAAATCCTTACTAGTTAAAGTTATTCCCAGGTAACACTATAGACCATGACTTTCTCCCTCAGGGAATGATTGCATTATTTTTCATTTTAATGAACAACAAAGCATACATACATCATAATTAATGGGAGAGACTTTCTCCAGCAAGGAGAGGTCTACCATATTCTTGGTCATCTAGAAATTACTTTGCTTTTATGATCTGAGTCATGGTGTTTTTGTGTGTGGAGTATAGGGGAGGTCTGTTTGAATCAATCTTGATAATTAGATTTTCTACTTCACTTATCACTGGGTATATTGTGGTTTTCGTAAAGATTTCTCATGATTTTAATGCCATTATTAGTAACAAAAAGTTGCATTTCTGACACTCTCTTTAGTACTCAGAAAAATGGTCTCCTGGAGTTCTCTCTGGAGTAGGGTAGGCCTCTGGTGGGGCAGTGTGTACCATTTCTGCCACAGTTCTCTGAGGTCTGCTTCTGTTCTGGCATCAGCCAGGCCTAAGCAGCACCACCCTGTACAACATCTGGTGGAAAGGGCAGCTGTTCTGAGTCACAAAGGTGGCATTTAAAGGGTGTGTTTTCACATTCTGGGCCACAGTACATCTACCAAATCAATTCTTGATGATGTTTCTAAAGATATTGTTTTCATTTTATAATTCAAGAAACACTCTTCTCTCCCCTATTCTTATGCTTTATGGCTGACAATGCAAGCTGTAGTCTAGTAATATACTGCATTCAAATTATATTCCAAATCATAAAATTCTGAAAGAGTGCATTTAATCATACTTACTCTTTGGAATTTGTTTCCCTCTGAAAGTGGTTTACATTATTTTTTAAAATCTAAAAACAGTGTTTTTAATAAATATAATTTTATGTTGTTTTTAAAAAAATATGTTTGTTGATTTCAGAAAGGAAGGAAGAGAGAGAAACATCAATGATGAGACAGAATCAATGATCACCTGCCTCCTGCACAACCCCCTTCTGGGGATTGAGCCCACAACCCACGCATGTGCCCTTGACCAAAATCGAATCTGGGACCCTCAGTCACAGGCTGAAACTCTATTCACTGAACCAAATCAGCTAGGGCTTATTTTAGTTTTAAAAGACTATAAAAGACTATATATTTGAATTTTGGATATGAAATTAAGTTTCTTACTATTAATATGTTACATAATGTCTCTGTTGAATTGGTCAATAGACATAAAAGTAAAATGACTTTGCATCCATTATATATGATCTGGATTTCATATTTCTTCTTGAAATATTGTTCTTGTTACTCCTATTATTTGCTTCAATTCTATATACATAGAAATGGATGGAGATTTATTGAAAGGTGATTCAGCAAGTGCCCTCTGGTGTTACAGATATCAAAAGCTCACCTCAGCATGGATGCATTTTTAATTTTGAAAGGTGATTACCTCCTGCAGTCCCACTACTATTTAAAGGCTTGTTTTCAAATAATTGCAGATTTAATTTAATCTCAAAGTAAGCACTGTGTAAAAGAAAAAGAAAGAAACAGTTCTGAGAGGGTGAGATGATGTGTAATTAGAGTTGTTTTTCAACCTTAGGTGGCATGCTTGCTTCTACTAATGCCATAATTACCCTTATCAGCAAATGCCAACCACCGAACATCACACCTGGTGCAGACAGGTGAGCAGCTGAGAGTGTATGGCAATCACAGTGCTGCAGACTAGATAAGCCCAGTTCATCTGGTTACCAAAGTCCCTCTTCCCACAGCAGTTTGAGAAGTTATGCCTGCAGGATCCCATGAACAACCTGTTTCCATTTCTGAGGCTGACTTGCTCTGCTGGCCTCGTAGGTGACTTCCGGTTTGAAAACCCAGTTTGAAAACTGGGTTCTTCCAGATCTTAAAATAAATGAGGAACACTGAGGCAAAGGCATGGCTAAAGTCAGAAAAACTCATCTCCAAACCAATGGCCTATTTGAAGAGGGTGTGGATGGAAGATCCCTTGGTAGTTGTAGTAGAAATAACAGCAAGTTGAAAAAAAAAAAGAATCCTCTGTTTCCTTTTTCAGTGTCTGACGGGCTATTGCAGTGTCATTAAACCGTTAATAGTTTGTTCTTGTTACACAAAGGGCTCTCCTGGTGGAAGCTGAATGAGTCCCCTGCAGTGCTTGTCCATTACCTTACCGAATAAGCCTTTTCTTGACAGGTTGATTTTTGTCTACTGCCCTTTACTCACTCAAACAGGGACAACGTTTTATTGCTCAGGAGTACAGAGGTATTATCCTGTCCTTGTGAGGTTTTGTGTGTGTGTGTGTGTGTGTGTGTGTGTGTGTGTGTGTGTGTTTGTTTTTTTTTTATGGGGGGAAAAAAGCCATTTTCATCATGGTTCATTTTGTTTAAGCATTTCTGAAATGTCATCTTTTCCCCCTAGTCATTAATATAACTACTAACTAGCTTTTTTCCCTCATCAATCATAGTGAATTAAATTTTAATTTGGTTTCATCATTAATTGGAGGGCCATGAATATATTAGCTGGCAAATGAGTAACTCAAATATTTTAAGTTTTGAGCAGTA